TTCCCCGCACAATTTAGGAAGATATTAATGAGGGTCGAGGGCCGATCAAGGATGTTTAAAAACTGGCTGTACACGACCCATGTCATCGTGAAGAAAGGCACAATATAGCGGTACTGACACAGGTTTACAGGAAAGTCTCTGAAAACTTGTGTTGGTTGTGCATCCTCCACCCCCTCTCTGGACTCAGCAGTGGGGGTATCTGTTCAGAACGTAACTACGATAGGACTTCGAACATTTCGCGGGAGGATGGGGTAGCCAAGTGGTTAAAGCGTCCGCTCGTCACACTGACGGGCTGGGTTCGATTCCCCACACGGGCACCTCCTGCCATGATATAGCTGGAATATCGCTAAAAGCTGCGTAAAACCCCACTTACTCACTTGTACATTTGTAATAGGAGATAATGGAGCTAAGAAATTGCATAAAGAAGCTCCATGATCTAGCCACTATAATTTAATTCCGTTCATAACCTCGCTTCATAAAAAGCAATGCTTACTTATTACTTATTATAAGACGTTGTTAACACTGCGTCCGCGATGTTTACAGATTCACAAGCTAATGCTAACGTGAGTATTCATTCATGCTTGTACAGATCAAGTCTTTGCCAGCCGCGTGTTCAATACATTTACATGTGAGGAAACGACATCCCTCTACTCAACTCTTGCAAATGAATCATGTCGGCTTAGGCCTTTATTGTCCATTAAAACTGTAGCGTTAAACACGCTAGAACGACTTACATGCTGATCAATGTAAATGCTCTTAATATATTAAAACGTTCAGCATGTGTATTGATTGTTCTCACTTCTCATTTTGGTAATCGGTTGATGCCAGCGGCTTTGTTTTGGTCGATACCTGGACAATACTCGACCAGTTGTCCGAGGACGCCCCCTGTATCGAGAACCTTATCAATTAGCATTAGCCAACACACAGGGCGACGCCGACACCACATTCAAGTCTGATTTAGGGGCTACCAAGCAGAGAATAAACATTCTACTTTTTGACATGTGGACTGTTTGTATCGTGACTGTGCTTTCTTTGCCAAATTGAGTGGCTTGTCTTTCGACGACACAGGTTTACAGGAAAGTCTCTGAAAACTTGTGTTGGTTGTGCATCCTCCACCCCCTCTCTGGACTCAGCAGTGGGGGTATCTGTTCAGAACGTAACTACGATAGGACTTCGAACATTTCGCGGGAGGATGGGGTAGCCAAGTGGTTAAAGCGTCCGCTCGTCACACTGACGGGCTGGGTTCGATTCCCCACACGGGCACCTCCTGCCATGATATAGCTGGAATATCGCTAAAAGCTGCGTAAAACCCCACTTACTCACTTGTACATTTGTAATAGGAGATAATGGAGCTAAGAAATTGCATAAAGAAGCTCCATGATCTAGCCACTATAATTTAATTCCGTTCATAACCTCGCTTCATAAAAAGCAATGCTTACTTATTACTTATTATAAGACGTTGTTAACACTGCGTCCGCGATGTTTACAGATTCACAAGCTAATGCTAACGTGAGTATTCATTCATGCTTGTACAGATCAAGTCTTTGCCAGCCGCGTGTTCAATACATTTACATGTGAGGAAACGACATCCCTCTACTCAACTCTTGCAAATGAATCATGTCGGCTTAGGCCTTTATTGTCCATTAAAACTGTAGCGTTAAACACGCTAGAACGACTTACATGCTGATCAATGTAAATGCTCTTAATATATTAAAACGTTCAGCATGTGTATTGATTGTTCTCACTTCTCATTTTGGTAATCGGTTGATGCCAGCGGCTTTGTTTTGGTCGATACCTGGACAATACTCGACCAGTTGTCCGAGGACGCCCCCTGTATCGAGAACCTTATCAATTAGCATTAGCCAACACACAGGGCGACGCCGACACCACATTCAAGTCTGATTTAGGGGCTACCAAGCAGAGAATAAACATTCTACTTTTTGACATGTGGACTGTTTGTATCGTGACTGTGCTTTCTTTGCCAAATTGAGTGGCTTGTCTTTCGACGCCTGAACAGGCTATGGTCATATGACAGGGTGTCAGCTTATTGTCGGTGCAACGCCTCAAGGTCTTATATTAGACGATTGTCAATGTGACGAGTTATGTTGGTAGACTACTATGACAAAATATTCTTTAGTTGTTTACATGTGTTTATATGATATGTTTCTCATAGTAAACATTCCATCATTTGTCTTACATACGATATTAGCTAGTCGGCTGGTAGTCCTAATGCTCAATAGTGCGACCAGATGGACACTTAGATAAACAATTACATGAGTGAGTGATTATTGCTTAACGCCGTATCAACAATCTTTTAGCTGTAAGCGGCGAAATGAAAATTATATGAATGGATCACTGAAAGTCATTGATGACATCAGGTGTTAGCTAAAAGGGTAAGTGTTCTGCTCTACCTGTTATGCTCTACCTGTAACTCCCACAAGGTTCATGACAAAAGTGTTTGTTGTCTAGAGCTACACTCGCAATACTCAGGACAGTCCAATACCTACATTTACTAAGTAAAATTAGAAATTTGTCGCATGTTTTCTCCTTAAACTGAACAAACCGAAAACAAATATCAAAATATGGTGTTGGTCCTATCGTGGAGTGTGTTTGTTTGTAGATTTCGCTCTGTTAAATAATATTCCAGCTAAAGCACAGCGGATTGTTCAGACAAACTAGTAGCCAGACTATGATCAACGCCATCGGGACACCATTCCGAAGCCAGATCCCGTTGAAGGCAAGGGAACTGACGTCTTGTTTCCCTTGATCGGAGTTCACTTGTGAGCCAAGTTTTGGGGCATCCGTCAATTCTTGTAACTCCCGCAGAACTGCAGACTTAATGTTCCGATCAGACAATCTGAGACTGTGGACTCTTAGAAACAACGTAACGGTTACCACAGACAGTAAGGCTTGCCACTCGCTTAAAACATTTAATTCGTATTTTTTCACGAACACATCTTTACAAATGCTATAGGAGTAATGATTCGGTTAATCTTAACGTTAAATTGGCGTGCTACGAGCCTCTGAATTCACCGACTGAATGACGACTAGGATGATTAATTGATTGGAAATTTCGATTATCAAACGATTGCATATGCCCATTAAACAGCCGAGGGAGTAGTAACACACGCATCCTAATGCACCCGGTGCACGAAGAGATACAAATACTTCTCAAATTCTCAAATACAAAGAAAATGGGTAGATACCGTACATTCTCGGGTAAAAGTCGATTTTAATAAATCCTGTCGTTAAGTACAGTCTATAAATCGACAGAGTCCGCTTTCGAATAAATTCCGATTAACTGACCAAGTGGATTATTGCCGCTTTGATCAATATATTCCAGTTATATCACGGCGTGCCAGCTCGACCTTGACCTCTCTTGAAAAACCCAGTACCAGGGTCGAGATCCTCACAACATAGAAACATAATCAGGGTGAATCTGGGATTCGAACCCCCATCACCCGTTACTGAAACGCCTAGAGGATTGCGCCACGCGTGCCCTCACTATGATGGCAAACTGGGATCAATGATTTAATGTGTACTTGCACTTTAGATTTAGTGCAGATGAAAATGAATCATATTCTTTTGTATGTTTGTTTAACGCCGATATCAGCATTATTCCAGCTATATGACGGCGGTCTGTATAATAATCGAGTCTGGACAGACAATCCAGTGAGCATCAATAAGCATCGATCTACGCAATTGGGATACGATGACGTGAATCAACCAAGTCAGCGAGCCTGACCACCCGGTCACGTTAATCGCCACTTTCTACGCGCATAGTCGATTCTTTGTGAAAAGGTTATCATTTTTGTCGGAATACATTTGTTGGTGACCATGTTGATACTGTTGTTATCCCAAGTTTGAGTTATAAGTATCATGAGTTTCATATTGTGTCTATGAGTGTAGCTTTACGCCGCATTTAGCAATATTCCAACAACGTCACGACTGGACCACCACCAGAAATGTACTTCTCACAATGTACGATGTGTTTAGTCGAACCCCACGTGAAGAGCGAACGCTTTAACCACTGGTCTGAGACACCGCTTTGGTGTTATATAATAACTTGTCTATCTGATACTAATTGTCTTGACTCGGGTAGAAGTTAAGGTACTGTCATGGCACTCTCACTTTTGTGTCACAAGTATACTGTATTGTTTTAGACGTCGGGTCTTGTCTGGTCCTTGTTATGGGTTACAGAAAGTGTGACTTTATTGAGTCAACACATTTTTCGGTTTTGCAAACAGATTACAGACAGAAGTTTATTCAATATTTTAGGCCATATGACCTATAGTACAGAAGTGTTTTTTTTTGTATCAACATTGTACAGTCACGTGTAGGTAATAATAAGTTTACATATAATAATAACGTCTCATTAACAGATTAACAACTATACGATGTCCTTCACAGTTAGATCAGCATTATAAGTCATTACCTTTTCTTCGACTAGGCATCGGAGTGATATAAACTGGTAACAGTAGGCTGGGGGTTGTCGTTGCAAGACAAGGTTTTACAGAAAGTAATACGTGGATGTACAACATATAACCCAGGACATTTATTATTTACTTTATCTGTGCTGTATGGTATTGAATCAGCTGGTAACGGCATAATCTACATACAGAGAGAAACAGTCTGAGATGTAAAGACCTCGTGATGCAGGGTGATGCACGGTTTCAAAATTCGGGAATCCTGAAAAGAACAGAACACCAGTAAAATGTAAAGGGTAGTTATGATTAATTGCCCGACTAGGCCCAACACAATGATGGCCCGAGGATAACAATGGTTTAGGCTTAATCAAATCTAACATTGGATGTTCTAATGCCATCATACGAACAATATTTGGCTGATCATATCCAGTGACGATCGAACCATGGCAACCATTTCACATAAGCTACATTTCACCCCGTAAACTAAAGGCGTTGATTGACAGTAACAGCAATTTTCCCCGTTAACACCAACAGCTAAAGTAGCAGATGACGTAGCAACCACAATCAATATCCGACCAACAGCGCGTGGCGCGAGCATCGTGCAGAGCAGACGGCATACGAGCAGACGACAGGTACGCTACACAGTGGAATCCAGAGGAGTCGATTTCAGGGGACTGATAGCTGTCACCACGTTCAGAAAAGGTAGGTTACCTTCTTATATATTGCTTGGTGAAACCATCATAATGCTGGAGAATGTGAGTTATCCGCCTCCAATGCCCTTTTATATGTGTTCGTACATTTCACTTGGTACCAGGCAAATATGGATACGTTGACATATATGAAAGACGATAGGCACTATCTGGTTGCCGCTGAAATGAATAATACATTGGAATTCGGAAGACGAAGAAACGATGATTATGTTCACTGTTCATAAAAAATGGGAATACACTATACTTTGATTAAAAGTAAACATAATTTACTACATGTTGTAAACTCACTGTTCCTGGATATGTATGTATTGCTACACTGAATTCACAAAGAACTTGCTTGAAGTGTTACATTATTTAAGTTAATGAATGTTGTACACATTAGACATGTTGAAAAATACATATCTTGTCGTTTATGTTTCTAATTTTAAAGGGAGACCGAAAACTGGTGACGTAATTGTATATGAATCGCCCTACTTCCAGTGTCATTCTACAGGGCGTTTCAGAAGACATTGAATTCAGTATTGTTATTAAGTTTTACGTTCTTATTTAATCTAAATATCTGTTACTATAACTATATTCTGATAGTGTATTTATGGTGTGTGAAACAGACCGTTACACAGAGTTGACAATGAATAGATTATGTTTCTGTCACGGTGTCTCATGTGTGTAGGTACGTGGATGGTCAAGTTATGTTTCTGTCACGGTGTCTCATGTTTGTACGTACGTGGATGGTCAAGTTATGTTTCTGTCACGGTGTCTCATGTGTGTAGGTACGTGGATGGTCAAGTTATGTTTCTGTCACGGTGTCTCATGTGTGTAGGTACGTGGATGGTCAAGTTATGTTTCTGTCACGGTGTCTCATGTGTGTAGGTACGTGGATGGTCAAGTTATGTTTCTGTCACGGTGTCACATGTGTGTAGGTACGTGGATGGTCAAGTTATGTTTCTGTCACGGTGTCTCATGTGTGTAGGTACGTGGATGGTCAAGTTATGTTTCTGTCACGGTGTCTCATGTGTGTAGGTACGTGGATGGTCAAGTTATGTTTCTGTCACGGTGTCTCATGTGTGTAGGTACGTGGATGGTCAAGTTATGTTTCTGTCACGGTGTCACATGTGTGTAGGTACGTGGATGGTCAAGTTATGTTTCTGTCACGGTGTCTCATGTGTGTAGGTACGTGGATGGTCAAGTTATGTTTCTGTCACGGTGTCTCATGTGTGTAGGTACGTGGATGGTCAAGTTATGTTTCTGTCACGGTGTCTCATGTGTGTAGGTACGTGGATGGTCAAGTTATGTTTCTGTCACGGTGTCTCATGTGTGTAGGTACGTGGATGGTCAAGTTATGTTTCTGTCACGGTGTCTCATGTGTGTAGGTACGTGGATGGTCAAGTTATGTTTCTGTCACGGTGTCTCATGTTTGTACGTACGTGGATGGTCAAGTTATGTTTCTGTCACGGTGTCTCATGTGTGTAGGTACGTGGATGGTCATGATATGTTTCTGTTGTTGTTTGCAAACAGTGAAACACACGGTGCTATGGCGTGCAGCAAGTTTTTGTCAGAGCGAAATGCTAATCATTGTCCATTGTTGCCATGAATCAGTATTTGTTTGGTTTGTTGGATCTTTTCACACTGCATTCGACAGTATTTCAGCTATATGACGGCGGTCTGTTAATAATCAAATTTGGACCAGGCAAATCAGTGATTGATGGCACAAACAAAATTCCAGTGTCATATTGTATTACTACATCCTCTTGTTTTAAAACAATGCATATCAGCAAAGAAAGTCCGCGTTAGTAATTCATCATGTTAGAAAATACAATGAATTCAATGGAACCCGGTAACCCGACGCCACCGTTTCCTGTCAAATCGTCCTGATACTCAAATTTGCGCATTAGCGAGTAGTTTGTTTGTTGTTTAACGCCAAACTTAGCAATATTCCTTCTGTATGACGTCAGTCTGTACATGATCGAGTCTGGACCAGACAATACAGTGACTGATATCATGAGCATCGATCTACGCAATTAGGATACGATGACATGCATCAACTAAGTTAGCGAGCCTGACCACCAGGTCCGGTTAGTCGCCTCTTACGACAGGCATGGATTGCTAAAGGTTAAGTCTAACCCGGATATGCACAGGGATAGTAGCAGTAGTAGTAGTAGTAGTAGTAGTAGTAGTAGTAGTAGTAGTAGTAGTAGTAGAAGTAGTATTAGTAGTAGTAGTAGATAGTAGTGGTAGTAGTAGTAGTAGTAGTAGTAGTAGTAGTAGTAGTAGTAGTAGATAGTAGTGGTAGAAGTAGTATTAGTAATTGGGTTTAGGGCGCCCACCGGATTAACGAAATATGTTTGAGAATACAGTCCCTTCAACTCCATTCTTCGTTCCTAAGATCGTCCGGAAGAGGGTTACATCATTAATATGGTTCTGATCTACGAGGATGCTCGGGTGAAAACAATATTCAGGGTCGCCAGAATATATGAACACAAGCTTGTGCACTGTTAATATATGCACCAGCATAGGAACATCAGTTACAGGCATATTCGTCATTCCATAAAGATAGACAAAAACAAGTTGCCGTCATGACAATATTAGCGGTATGCTACTGTGTGGGGGGTGTTCACTAGTATTTGAGGTGCGGCGAAATGGTTTTCACAATCATGTTCCAATAGTCTGAATATTCTTTGCAGGATGGTTCAATCTTTGGACGTCGACTGATGGGATGAAATTATGAGAGGAAATAACACTACCCCGATCACGCCCTGAGAGCTAATTCCAAGACATAATTAACACCGTATGTGCATAATACTTCAGCATTTTGAAAGGCAGGTGTCTCCCCGGTGTAGAGGGGTGACAAGTCACCTGCAATGAAAAGATCCGGGACGATGTACCATGGGATGCTCAGCATCAATGGAAGCAGATCAGTCATTAGCCTGGCCACCAGCCAAGCTTATCTACCCAAACATCATTGACAAACAAAACAGGATAGCTCCCCGGAAGTGGACTAGCATTGTTGCTGCTGGCAGTAAGGTAAATTATTTATATATGTATTAAACAGGCCTGCCACAGATTTCAGATCTGTATAAGCCAGTTACGTTGGTACATGAAGGAAGCATTAACAAAGGACGTTAGTCTTCTCATAGTTGTATTTTGCTTAGGGACCGACCATATGTGTATGGGAAGCGGGTGGATGTGGGGAGGTTTGTAAGAGACCTATTTTCGGTCTCTGAATTTTTACCGAGACAAGCGTGTCTTCTAGCCTATATCAGACTCTAGTTTCACTAGGCTTTGAAATAGACGAGTGGACCAGCCTAAATCAAAACCATGTGAAAACTAGACTATGATACGCTTGCCTCGGGAAGATGAGCCACTGCATGAAAACAGGCAATATTTTCTTTGAAAAAAGGAGCCGAAATTGTTTTTATCTATTTTAACTACACATTCTCCCAGGACATTGACCATGTTCATCAAACAGCTTGTACTGGTAACACTTCTCTCCCCATAAGAATGGTCGATGCCATATGGTGTAATAAGAGAAGAAAGTACACGATTCCTACATGATTGAATCCTGCAAAGCCAAATATCTTCGCTTCTTGGTACGATGATAGATCCACTTAACCATCGCTACCTCCATTCACATATCCACGTTCATCCTTAGCTTACACAGCCATTAATGCGAAGCACGTCCCGAAGTGTGTCCATGCTTGAGATTTCAACACTACGGTGACAAATTAATCCCTATCAAATTTCACATGTTTGAAAAAGACCTTTTTCTTCCGTGGAACGACATTATGAAATCGAACAATTAACCCTGAAATGGTTAGCCTCCACCTTACGCCTCCGCATACACGCATTGAATTTGCTCCTTTCCTGTTTGCGACTGTGTAACATGAAACATATGCCACACAGCATAAAAAGAAACAGGTCACTTCAGTCCCAGTTGAATCGATAAGAAAGAATATTTTAGTAGAAACCGGGACCTAGTGCTGCAGCAGGCGAATACCTAAAAATGTCAGAAATCGACCGAAATGTCTTGCAGTTTTCATTTATTATGGCAATTGTGTTGTGCTTTCATCTGTTGGGGAAGGTAACTAAATGATGTCAATGACTCTCATGTCAGGGTAAACTAGTCATTGATTATGGTGTTTACTCAGTAATGGACGTGAACAGAATTAAATGACGTTTGTGTCGATTTCATGCACGTTCAAGTTTGCAAAGAAGAGTATGTAACGTTGTAATTATCCTTCCCAATCCTATTTGTTTCGTTAATATTAACATTGTCTATTTTCTTAATATATGCATACAATGTAATTAAACAGCAAAAATATCACGTGTAAACATATAAATAACGGAGACTTAGAAATAAGCAGCCTCTGCAGATGTTTTTTTTCTGGTGTGACTGTTATATAAAAGATAGTATAGTCAGTGTAGATAGATGACGTAAGGCAGTTTTGATAGTGTGTTGTTGAGGTCAGTGAAGAGAGGGGAGGGAGGAGGGTGAGAGCTCTGATAGTGTGTTATTGAGGTCAGTGTACTGAGGGAGGATGACAGTTCTGATAGTGTGTTATTGAGGTCAGTGTAGAGAGGGAGGATGACAGCTCTGATAGTGTGTTATTGAGGTCAGTGTACAGAGGGAGGATGACAGTTCTGATGGTGTGTTATTGAGGTCAGTGTAGAGAGGGAGGATGACAGCTCTGATAGTGTGTTATTGAGGTCAGTGTAGAGAGGGAGGATGACAGCTCTGATAGTGTGTTATTGAGGTCAGTGTACAGAGGGAGGATGACAGTTCTGATGGTGTGTTATTGAGGTCAGTGTAGGGAGGGGGGGGGGGGGGACAGTTCTGATGGTGTGTTATTGAGGTCAGTGTAGAGGGAGGGGATGACAGTTCATACCTTGGGTTGTTGAGGTCAGTGTATAAGGGACATATGAAAGTTCTGATATAATTTGACACAATATTCATTTTGATGTAAACAATCCCATAAGCGCCATATTGTTCCAACCAGCAACAGCTTTAATGGGATAATTGTCGTTATGTACAATTATAACAACATTCCACGGATATGATAACAAAGTGCCCAACTAGTCACAAGTGCCAAGTTGACAGAGTAAATTGTCCTTTATTTTGGCAAAACCATAGTGACCTCAAAATAAGTTGATTTCCCGCTATGGAACAGGTGATGTGTGGGGCGTGTGCGTGTGCGTGTGCGTGTGCGTGTGCGTGTGCGTGTGCATATGTGTAAATGTGTGCTTTCTTGTGCTTGTCCTTGTATGTGGTTAAGTGAAAAATTGTCGTCATACATTGGACAGAGATAGGAAACCTTGCGTTCTAGATTCTACAAGATCTTTCACCGAACTGTATTTTGAAATAAGTCTTTGTCAGCAGAGTAGTTGCCTTTTTTGGTTTGTTTGTTTTGGCACGACGTTTGTTAACCCTGAATATCTACTGACTGTGATATCGTCTGTCATGTCGTACATCTTCATAGTCATACGAATATTGACCATTAAAGAGGCTACTCTGGTTGTACCCAAAGGGCACACTGTCATACTTTTTAGTTAGCAGTCACGGTCACCTGTCATTTGTAGCACCAGAGAGCCACATATATAATATGCTTATTCAGTTTTCCAGCAACAATTTCACGAGTAACCTTTAAATAGGATAGTTAAAAGTCATAAAACCTTTCGTTTACGTATGCTGATAATAGTGTGTAAGACAAGGCTATTTTAATATCAAACTAATTAAAATCAGACCTCAGAGCTCGCTAGCGCTACAAAAAGTCTGAGGACATCCCATTACAGGTTACGTCAGAAAGACCTGTCATCCGATCAATGGTCGCTTACGTCCGAAAACGCTTTCTGATCATGCAACCTCGAAAAGAGTAACACGGGACATTCCGAACGTCAGACTGATTCCGAAGACTTCTCGACAAAGTCATCGTCTATATCTAACTTCAATGGGGTACACACTTGGAACAGAAGAGACTTTAATTTCCCCAGCCCGTTGGAAGTACTGCCACACAAGCTCAGCTATCTATAGGAGTTTTTTTGTACAGTTACTGAATAAAGTCCCGCTTAGTGATTCCCAGTTATATGCTTTAAAGTAATTGTAGAGATACGTTACTAAATGTGGGTACAATGGCGCAATTAAGTGTTGTCAGAGAACATATAGCGATTATCTACCATAAACACTGATAACATATTTACTGCTTCACAAAATTCGATGTATTGCAGTAGAAACTGACGACGTCGTGTTAGTGGTGTATACGTAAATACTAAAAATTGCTCCTCTCTCGCGTGTGCTGGTGTGTGTGGCTACTTGTACTAGTCTGGACTAATGCCGGTTTTATAGTGCTAGTCTACTGTGTGATGCCATACCGGAGTTAGATTTGGGTACCCTACGCATAGTAAGCAGAAAACTGACTTCGAGTCGACCCCTTAGTGCCGGACGCCAGGCAGGGTAACAACATGTATAATATTTTCACGCCTTTTGGCATGACGCGGAAACGAACCACCGACCTTCCGCTTTTCAAAATATTTTATTTTTTTCTTATTGAAGCAGTTTGTTGGGAATGTTGTTGATATAAGCAGCAAATAAAAACTTTCTATTATCATTCGAAATCACGAGCCCGTTGTACAATCCTGACTGTATCATAAGCATGTGTTTATCAATCATACATTGATGATACCAAGTGTTCACATGAAGGTGAACGTATCCTGTCTTAATGAAAGCACCCATCACAAGCACATGAAAAGCCAAGTCACGTCAAGTGAAGCCAAGTCAGCTGAACAAACACGGAAACAATCACAACAGAGATTTGATTTGGACGCCATTTCGGACTTGGGTCGTCAAAAGGCGTGAAATGTAGATGCCGAAAGTTGGAGCTGCTGGATTATTGCTCAGCATTAGCTGAGTTCATTCTTCTTTCCTCTTGTTTTTATGCATTTAGCTAAATATGAATTGACTATTTGAGAGAACAATTTGTGATATACATTGGTCCCTAACAGTCTCAAGGTGTGGACAATTGGTGATATACATTTGTCCCTAACAGTCTTAAGGTGTGGAAAAATAGTGATATACATTTGTCCCTAACAGTCTCAAGGTGTGGACAATTGGTGATATACATTTGTCCCTAACAGTCTTAAGGTGTGGAAAAAAAGTGATATACATTGGTCCCTAACAGTCTTAAAGTGTGGACAATTGGTGATTTACATTGTTCCCTGACAGTCTTAAGGTGTTGACAAATAGTGATATACATTGGTCCCTACCAAACTCATCACCAATCATTTCTATCTATTAATAATCAAATCATTGAGACCCAATGAATAAATATCGTGGTTAAAGTTATTGTGAACTTTTCTTAAATACTCCAAAAGGTTCGTATCACAGAATAATAGCGATACATTGGTAACCACGCGGCTCCCTAACAAATACAACCACAATGGACTAATTTGGACCTGTGTCATTAAATGAATTTCATTGTAAAGAATGATAAAGATAGCTACCCTTGAACACATTGCAAACACAGGATGAACAGCATTGAATGAATGTTACACATTTATGTATACAATTAATGTAACGTCACTACACGAGTCTCTTGGAGCGGCGCTAGTGTCAGTTATTGATAACCATTCCGTCAAGGGCCGACGTGGCATTCAGGCTAACTTGATGCGAGACGTTAATACAAAAAGACATTGTATAAAGACATTCATCACTGGCGATGGCAGGTCAGAAATAGTACCAATGAATCAATACAGTCTGTTCGTAAAGAGTGAGTGAGTGGATGGGCTATTTTACAGCGGCATGTCTGTTTGTAAAGAATGAGTGAGTGAGTGAGTGAGTGAATGAGTGAGTGAGTGAGATTGGTTTTAGTGCTTAAAGAGCAATGTTGCAGCAATCTCACTGCGGGACTTACTTAAAATCGACTTTGCACACTGTACCATTATTGGCAATCGAACCTGGGTCTGCGGCTAAGCGAGGGAACGCTTTGACCACTAGGCAAATGATAGCGACTTGATAATAGGAAAGTCTACTG